CACACACACTCACACACACTCACACACACACTCACACACACTCACACACACTCACACACACACACTCACACACACACACACACACACACACACACACACACACACACACACACGTGACACAACAGCATGTGAAAACGGGAACTTAGGGTCAGAATCATTGTGTATTTCCAGATAATAGATTTTTAGCCACAATTAAATGTAAAGAGATTCATAAATATTATACAAATTCACAAATAAATAGAATGAGATTTGCAAATAAAAAAAAATATCCACAAATATAGTTTTATGTCACAACATATCTTTGCCTGTCATTCATTTGTCGATCACTTCCTGTACATTATGGATGACTTCCTTTGAGTTCAGATAACAGTCTTGACACTAAAAATGTTTCAGAATCCACAAATGCACTAGAGGAATCCTCAAATGTGTGCAGGGATCCACAAATGCAAAGGAAAACATATTTTTAGATTTGCAAATGTCATTTTATTTATTTGTGAATGTAATTCATTTTTGTGAAACGTCTGTATATATTTGTGAATTTGTATAATATTTCAAAATCAAATGGTCTGGAAATATGCAACAGTTCTGAGGCCACAGATGCTGGACTTTTGATTTAACACACATTTATATTTTCTAATGTTTCATGAGTTTTGGAGCTTGGTGTGTTGTGCTGATGTTGCAGCTGTTGAAGGACATCAGTCAGAAGCAGCGAGACCCGCGGCAGCGTCAGGTGGACCTGCGGAGGGCGTACATCACCGCCCGCTTCACACCCGCCACCCTGCCTGCATTCTTCACACTCGGAGACCAGCTGGACTACGGAGGCTTCGAGAACCGCGCATTAGAAGCGGGTCAGGAGTACGTGTTCTTCATCCTGGCAGAGCTCAACTCCACCACTGGGGTAAGATGTGTGTGTGAGTGAGAGTGTGAGTGTGAGTGAGAGTGTGTGTGTGTGTGTGTGTGTGTGTGAGTGAGTGAGAGTGTGTGTGTGAGAGTGTGTGTGTGAGAGTGTGTGTGTGAGAGTGTGTGTGTGTGAGTGAGTGAGAGTGTGTGTGTGAGAGTGTGTGTGTGAGAGTGTGTGTGTGAGAGTGTGTGTCTGAGTGTCTGTGTGTGAGTGTCTGTGTGTGAGAGTGTGTGTGTGTGTCTGAGTGTGTGTGTCTGAGTGTCTGTGTGTGAGAGTGTGTGCCTGAGTGTCTGTGTGTGAGAGTGTGTGCCTGAGTGTCTGTGTGTGAGAGTGTGTGCCTGAGTGTCTGTGTGTGAGAGTGTGTGCCTGAGTGTCTGTGTGTGAGAGTGTGTGCCTGAGTGTCTGTGTGTGAGAGTGTGTGCCTGAGTGTCTGTGTGTGAGAGTGTGTGCCTGAGTGTCTGTGTGTGAGAGTGTGTGCCTGAGTGTCTGTGTGTGAGAGTGTGTGTGTGTGTCTGTGTAACGCTCCTGTGTTTGTGTGTTCAGAAGATGTTTGTGGCCAGTCCTTACACTGACCCCGTGATCGCGCCGGACTCGGACCCTCAGCCTCTGGACGCGGGTGACGGTCTCATCTGGGTGGTGGGACCCGTGCTGGCTGTGGTCTTCATCATCTGCATCGTCATCGCCATCCTGCTCTACAAGAAGTGAGTCTGACCTGAACATGTTAGATGCCGCTAGAAACACAGAATTACCCATCATGACTAGCTGCACATGAATGAGAGGCTCTTTAGTGCAACACTGTTTCTGCACTGCAAAAAAATATTTTCTTACTAGTATTTCTGTCTTGCTTTCCAGTATAAATATATAAACATTCTTAAATCAAGACACATTTACTGGAGAAGCAAAATGACTTAAAATACTACGTTTTGTTTCCTGAAAAGAGGTTTTGCTTAAAATAAGAACAGAAAAATGAACTTGTTTTCCCTTTGAAAACAACGCTGACAGATATTTGCTCGTTTTGTTTTAAGGATAAACTCACAAAAAAAATAATTTTTGCAGTGTGATATATTGTGTGAGATCAAATGTACAGTACTGCTCATAAGTTAACATCCCCCAATATCTTGATCATCTAGAAAAATATGAATCCTCTTATTTTTTATTGTTATTTATAATAATTATTTTGACCTCTCCAGGTGTCTCTTATGTGTTCATTCTGGTCCGTTGTGTCAGTTTTGTTCATTTCTTCTGGCCTGAAGCTCAGAGCTTCTGATGAACATCACGTTTCATATTCCCATCAGTGGTCATCTATAAGTAAAGTCAACTAGCTATAATAGTCATGAGAAGAAGAGATGATGTTAAGTGCACAGCGATGGTCTCCATGACGACTGGAACTCTGGGAAAGATTTGGGGACAGAAGAGAATAGCGTGTGATTAAATATGTAGGAAGCAGCTATTTCTGGACAGGAAGATAATAGCGTCTGAGGTGAGGATTCAGTCAGATCAACTGCAGCAAGGCTGAGGAAATATGTTATATTTATTAGATGTCATATACGTTATATTTATGTATAAAATTCATTACATTACACATTTTTATTGTCATTT